AACCCCTGTCCTAGTCTGTCACTCTATCCACAACATCACACTAGATAATACTGATATCAGGAGAAGGGAAGATGAATCTGAACACCAGTTGTTTGAGACAAATAACAGAGAAATACTGGCCAAAATTCTTTGTACAGTGGTGCCTCGCATTACGACGTTAATTCATTCCAGCAAAATCGCAGTAGAATGAAAATGTAATGTGAAAATAAAAAGCCCATTGAAATGCATTAAAACCCCTTCTATGCGTTCCAATGGGCTGGAAACTCACCGTCCAGCAAAGATCCTCCATAGGGTGGCCATTTTCGGTGCCTGTGCAGCGAGGAATCCGTCCCAGAAAACAGCAGCCATCTTATTTACCTGGCGGCCACTTTGAAACCGCCAATCAGCTGGAGGAAAATCGTTTTGCGAAGAATCGGTTCCCGAAGCAGGGAACCGATCATCGCAAAGCGAAAAAACCCCATTCAGACCATCGTTTTGAAAATCACAATTGCGATCGCAAAAAGATCATCGTAATGTGGTTTCGTTGTAATGCGGGGCAATCGTAAAGCGAGGCACCACTGTATTATGCCCACCAGGATAATGCAACTGGAAAAAGTCTTGGGGGCAAATTGCTGCAAGATAAAAAATCACCATAGGCGTCTGCTGTTGCTTGTCAGTACACAACAACAAGTGACAACACAGACGTCTTAAGTTGGAACAATTTGCCCTCCTGAGATTTATGCCATTTTTTTAAAAAAATCTTATTATTATTTATAAAACCCATCCATACTTATTTAACATTGTGTCACCTGGGTTCAGCTTATAATCATTCAACACAACTACAATACATATTAAACTCTTAATGCATACAACGTACTTCTAACCACTCATAAAACAAGTTCCATGTTTAATAATATTCCGCATCTTCCTCTCCTTTGATTTTCAGTGTCAGTCTATCCATTTCGGCGCAGTCCAATATCTTTTTAATTATTGCTTGATCTTTAGGTGTTTCTTCATTTTTCCAGTATTGTGAGAATATAATCCTTGCTGCTATTAAAATACGCAGTATTAAATATACATTTTGTTTATCAACACTTTCTGGTATTATACCTAATAGAAAGAGTTCTGGCTTAAAGCCTAAATGTTTTTTTATTATTTTAACAAGCCATATATGTATTTTTTCCAATTTTTTTCCTTTATCACAGGTCCACCAAAGTTGATAATGTTCCAGTTTTTTATGACATTTTCAGCATTTACTTGACCTATTAGAGTACATTTTAGCTAATTTATTGGGTGGTAAATGCCATCTATGAAACATTTTATATAAATTCTCTTTATAAGATGTTGCCATTGTCATTTTATAGTTTCTAGACGATAGCTTTTGCCATTTTTCAAAGTCAATATTATAGCCAAAAAAATTTGTCCATTGAACCATTGTTTTTTTTAACCTATTCATCCTCCATTTTCCAATTTAAAAGAAATGTATATTTTTTCATATTTATCATCTGATGTTAACATTTTTTGGTCAAACGTCTGACCTTGTATAAAAATCATACATTTTTAAATCCCTTTCATACCTAGATTGTATTTGCATTATGGGCAGATTTACACCATTTCTGTTATGCTGATACAAAAACACATTAGGATATGGCCACTGTTACCTTCACAGGCCTTTTGTTTCTGTTCATGGGGTTTTCTTGGCAAAGATACTGGACTGGCTTGCCAGTTCCTGCTCCAGGTAGATGGTGTTTAGTCAGAACTCTCCACTATGACCTGTCCGTCTTGGGTGTCCCTACACGGCATAGTCCATAGCTTCTCTGAATTATTCAAGCCCTTTTGACACGACAAGGCAGCAATCCATGAAGGGGTAAAAGGCCGGTGAAGGAAACAAAGGAAATGCAAGAAAGCAAAGTGGCTGTCCAATGAGGCCTTACAAATAGCAGAGAAGAGAAAGGAAACAAAATGCAAGGGAGATAGGGAAAGTTACAGAAAATTGAATGCAGACTTCCAAAGGATAGCAAAGAGACAAGAGGGCCTTCTTAAATGAACAATGCAGAGATATAGAGGAAAATAACAGAAAAGGAAAAACCAGAGATCTGTTCAAGAAAATTGGAGATATAAAGGAACCTTTTGTGCAAAGATGAACATGATAAAGGACAAAAATGATAGGGACCTCACAGAAGCAGAAGACATCAATAAGAGGTGGAAAGAATACACAGAATTATACGAGAAAGATCTGGACGTCCCAGACAACCCAGATAGTGTGGTTGCTGAACCTTGAGCCATGCATCCTGGAGAGTGAAGTCAAGTGGGCCTTAGAAAGCATGACTAACAAACAAGGCCAGTGGAGGTGATGGCATTCCAGTTGAACGATTGAAAATCTTAAAAGATGACACTGTTAAGGTGCTACACTCAATATGCCAGCAAGTTTGGAAAACTCAGCAGTGGCCAGAGGATTGGAAAAGATCAGTCTACATCCCAATCCCAAGGAAGGGCAGTGCCAAAGAATGCTCCAACTATCGTACAATTGTACTCATTTCACACGCTAGCAAGGTTGTGCTCAAAACCCTACATGGTAGGCTTTAGCAGTATGTGGACCAAGAACTCCCAGAAGTACAAGCTGGATTTTGAAGGGGCAGAGGAACTAGAGACCAAATTGCTAACATGTGCTGGATTATGGAGAAAGCCAGAGAGTTCCAGAAAAACATCTACTTCTGCTTCATTGACTATGCAAAAGCCTTTGGGACATCTTCTCTTTGGCAAATATAAAAGGCAGGCTCACCTCCATATCCAATAGATTTTTAAAAACAACTATTCTTTTATCCCCTAGTCTGAGCGTATTAACAAATAGGTATAAATAGCCATGAATCAAGATTGCTGGAAGAAATATCAACAACCTCCGATATGCAGGTGATACCACTCTCTGACGGCAGAAAATGAGGAGGAATTAAAGAACCTCTTAATGAGGGGGAAAGAGGAGAATGCCAAAAATGGTCTGAAGCTCAACATCAAAGAAACCAAAATCATGGCCACTGGTCCCATCACCTCCTGGCAAATAGAAGGGGAAGATATGGAGGAAGTGACAGATGTTACTTTCGGGCTCCATGATCACTGCAGATGGTGACAGCCACGAAATTAAAAGATGCCTCCTGCTTGGGAGGAAAGTGATGACAAACCTAGATAGCATCTCAAAAAGCAGAGGCATCATCTTGCCGACAAAGGTTCACATTATCAAAGCTATGGTTTTTCCAGTAGCGATGTATGGAAGTGAGAGCTGGACCATAAAGAAGGCTGACCGCCAAATAATTGATGCTTTTGAATTGTGATGCTGGAGGAGACTCTTGAGCTCCTGCTTGGGAGGAAAGTGATGACAAACCTAGATAGCATCTCAAAAAGCAGAGGCATCATCTTGCCGACAAAGGTTCACATTATCAAAGCTATGGTTTTTCCAGTAGCGATGTATGGAAGTGAGAGCTGGACCATAAAGAAGGCTGACCGCCAAATAATTGATGCTTTTGAATTGTGATGCTGGAGGAGACTCTTGAGAATCCCCTGGACTGCAAAGAGAACAAACCTATCCATTCTGAAGGTAATCAACCCTGAGTGCTCACTGGAAGGACAGATCCTGAAGTTCAGGCTCCAATACTTTGGCCATCACATGAGAAGAGAAGACTGCCTGGAAAAGACCCTGATGTTGGGAAAGTGTGAAGGGAAGAGGAGAAGGGGACGACAGAGGACAAGATGTTTGGACAGTGTCATCGAAGCTAGCAACATGAATGTGACCCAACTCCAGGAGGCAGTGGAAGACAGGAGGCCCTGGCGTGTTCTGGTCCATGAGGTCATGAAAAGTCAGACATGACTTAACAACTAAACAACAAACCTTCACGGGCTCTTTGGGAGTGTCTCAGAGGCAACCTTGGTAGGCACAGTGGAGAACAGGATGCTAAGCTCATTGGAACTTTGATAGGAACCAGCTGGGCTCTTCTGTTTTCATAACAGCATTTTCTCATTGTTTCTCTTTTAATACAAGTGAAGGGAAAGATCCATCCAAATCCTTGTGGTGTCTTGTAAGAAGGATGCAAAGATAACCAAGCTGCTGTTTCAACAGAACTGGAGGCAGCCTCTGATCAGAGCAATGGGGACCCTTTGGACCAAAATTACAGGATGAGTTGCCTCCCCCAATCATCAGATCTTGGGCCACCTATGAATCGAATTGCTCTAAAACTATTAATTAGGCAAAGAGAGGATTGCTCTGCATTGGCTGCACGTGAAAGGCAGCATGACACACTCATCCAATGCCACTGAGCAGAGGGTTCTTTTCTCCAAGCTGCTCTGCCAGCTGTAAAGTGTTGATGCCAAGCCATGAAATCCAGTACAGTGGACCCTTGACTTACAGACGGCTTGACTTACAGACTTTTTGAGTTACAGACTTCTCTGGCCGCAAAATTTAGGTTTGACTTGCAGACTGAGATTTGACTTACAGACCAGAAAAAAACCAAAATGGAACAAAAAGAAAGGCAGCATGACACACTCATCCAATGCCACTGAGCAGAGGGTTCTTTTCTCCAAGCTGCTCTGCCAGCTGTAAAGTATTGATGCCAAGCCATGAAATCCAGTACAAATTTACCTGCCCCATAAACTTGTTCTCCCAGCAAGCTCCTCATTTCTCCTGGAGTAGCTTGCAGAGCCAGGCCCTGGGATAACTGGAAACACTTGGAAGAGCCCGTTTAAGAACAGCTTGGGCAACTATCTGACCCCGCATACAGGAAGGGGCCTGTCAGAAAAGGGGAAGGCTCTGGTCTGTAGGCAGGTCATTGGGGTGGCTGAACCCTTTCTCACATTTTATATGGGAGGGGGTGCACAGTAAACCCTTTCCCACTAGGGACTGGGCCTTGATCTAAAGAATTATACAACAGATATCACATAAATATGGGATCAGCGCTTTTTAAAAAAAGAGCAACACATATTCATACTAAATAGAAAATTTATTTCGAAACTCAAATATTTTGTAAGAAGCCTGCTATTTGATGCCTTTTTCCAAATGTAAATAAATAAATCCGAACATTCCTCAAGCCTTCAAACCATTCCGATTACATTTTTAAAAAGACAAAAATGAGGATGTGTGTTCAAACCCATGCTCTCAGGTAAGTGGGTATGGCATAAGACTGAACCGAGTTAGCAAACACAAGGTACGTGCTTTCCCTAGCACACACAGACACACACACACCGAGAACGAGAACCTTCTCTCTTTTTAAGATAATAAAACGACACGATTCAGTGGGAAAGCTAATGGTGTCTGTGCTAGAATGAAAAAAGCCCAAACCGCATGATGATGCATGAAGGCTTCCAGTTGATCCTTGAGCGGGGGTGGGGGTGGGGCTTTTCCGCCCCTCTCCAAAAAATCCAAACTGTACTGCGAACATCTTCTCTTTTTACATGACCTTTTCTCATCAGGATCTGAAAGTTAATCGGAGTCTGTGCCAGAGGGAGAGAGAGAAAGAGGCGGGAGTTACTCCTGACAACGCTGCTTTTCCTTACCGAGGAACTGAAACCTCTATTTCCGCCTCCTCCCCACTTTCTGCCCACTGGCTGTGCGGTGATGTTAGACGCGGTTGCTCAGAGGGAAGTGAAAATGAAATCGACTTTTTGGAGAAATGATGACAGAGGCAGCGGCTGCCAATGAGCGGCTGCAGCAAACTTCCGCACTTCTTTCGCTCCTTACAGCCAGCCCCCACCTAGCCCTCGCTTGCTCGAGATCTGCACAAACAGGCCTGGGAGAGAGAGAGAGAGAGGTGGAGGAGGGGGGGATTGCCAAGGCTTAGCTCCTGGCGGTTGCTCCCCTTGTTTTGCTTTCGATCTGGACTAACCTCCGCTAAAAGCAGAGGGCGAATAACTTTTAGTTTTACTCCTGCGATTGACACAGCCGCCTGTTTTCCTTTCCATTTTGCGTCTCTTGGCAACCGTCATAACCTTGAGGAATTATATAAATCCCGCGAAACGCAATCTTGGTAAGGTAAAACCAAATTCATCCTTTGAAAGAGATAATGCGCTTTATTTATTTGTTTAAATGCATCGACACTCACAAGCCTGGCACGCTCGCATCTAGGAATATTAATAGTGGTTGGAAACCCAAATTAAAAGGCTGGGGCCGTTTTGCGGGTCATATGATTTTAGGCGCAGCTTCTGGAAAGAGAAAGCAGGTTTTTTAATTTCACTTTTGGATTTGCAGAGGCAGGGAAGGGATCGGCTGGAAGGACGGGTTTCTCATGCTCTGAAACATACACTGTTTGCTTCGAAAGGGGGGCGAGACGATGGAGAATGTCAGCAGCAGAAACAAAGGCGGGAGTGATTATATCTTCTCCCTCTTTAGCCTGGATGAGGTAGGAGTAGAGCTGGTTCGTGGCATGCAAAATCAGCGGGTTTTGGGGAACTACGAAATAACTGTCGGATTATCAGAGTCGAAATCTCGCCGGGTGAGCTAAAAAGAGCAGCTTTTCACCCCAGTGGAGGTTATGACAGAAGCAAACGGAGTTGCTGATCTGGACACTTGTTGTTTTCCATTCCGGGATCTGTTGGGCGATGCGGATGTTTATTTTTCGCAGCCGATTTTCTACGCGAGTGTGGAGTTGCTGTGACCGAGGGGGAACCCACCCCATTTTATAATTTGCTCTCGCTCGCTCTCAAAGGCGGTGTATACCAGTCTAGGGGGATTCAATCGCTCTTTTTCGCGTTCCTTCGCCCGTCCCTGACTTTGAACCCAGCTATGGCGCGATAAGGCCCCAGCGCAGTGGAAGGTGCTGCTGATCCGCCTGTCCGGGATTGGTATAGATTTGCATGGCTCTTCGTTTTACGCTGCAGGGAGATCGGGGCAGGCGCGGAGGGCGGAAGGAGCAGGAGGAGGAGAAGGTGGGCTCGGTGCCGTAGGGCGTCGTCGTCTGCCGCCTTTGCTTCGCTGCCTTTCCCCCCGCAGAGGCCTCGAGGCTCCTCTCCAAGCCTCCCTTACCCCCTCCCCAGAGCATGGGCGAGGGAACTAAACGAGGCAGGTAGCCCCTCGTGTCGGGGGTGGTTTGGACTGAATGTAGGGAGAAGAGTTGGCGGCGACCCCCCCTCCCCTTCCCTCCCCTCCCCGGCCAGTGGTGCTTTTTCCGACAACTAGGAGGGGGGTCGCGAAAACCTCCAGTGCCGCTCCTTCCCATCCCCGCGCCGCGGCCTTGATGCCCCGCGAAAGAGGCTGTTACACAAGCCTGGCTCAGTCACTTCCTTTTTTTTCGCCGCGGCCGGGTCAAGGCGTGACGTGGCATCGCTGCTTAGCCAATCGGGAAGCGAGGACGCGGCCGTCGAGCGCGCCACTGGATGCTTTTGCCGCTCGTGCGGGGGAACACGGGGGGGGGAGGCGGGAGAGAGGAGAGGGAGGCCTGCCTGGATGTTCCAGGAAACTAAAGGGAGCGCGAGCGCCAGCCCTCCTGCTTTCCCAGCAACCGGAAAGCATTAATTTGCTCCAGGGAGGAGGAGTGTGGAAGGGTTACCGGATCTCTCCGCTGAGGGAGAAGGCTTACCTGGGTAGACCTTCGGCCCCCTGCATGTAAAGGGCAACCAGAATGGGGAGGGGGGGTGTTCAGTGGAACCTGCACATTTCCCTCCCTCTTTTCCTTCCTTCCCCTCCGTGTGCATAAGCGTCAACACCTGTGAACACCTCCACCCCCTTGTGTTCTTGAGTTTGCATGCTTCCTCGTCAAAGGTTGATGTGACCGACGGGTTGCCATCAACTGCTCTACCACGGGTGTGGTAGCTTTGTTGAATGTCAAGATTAGGCTGTGCCCAAACTAACGAATATTATCAGGCAAAAACAAAAGACATTTTTAAAAAGACAAAAAACGTGATACCTTAGTATCATGTATAATAGACTTAAGTATTGTATTTTAATACGGCATAAGCGTTCATGGACCTTCTCCCACTACTTTAGCCATATGAGGTGGAATACAGAGATCACGCAGTAAAACAATCATATCAGGGTCTAAGAGGCAGTGGTTTGTGGTTGCATTTCACACATATGTCTGTTTGGTATTCAGTTTTGAACTTCGGTTCTCTAAACATTCCCGCAAGAGACGCAAAAACAGAGCGAGAGAGACCTTAAAGACTAACTGTATGCAGTAGTAACATGTTCAAAGAAAGTAGCAACATGTTTAAAGAAAACAAGAGAAACAATGTGTATTAATATGAGCAATGCCAGACTATACCTTTGAACCTTGTTGTGAAGGAAAGTAACAGTAGATGTGACTTAAGATGTGTCCATCATGTGTATAAATTCTAATCTCAGCTGTTTCTGTATTTGTGTTCTGCAGTATTTCCTTTCCAGAATATCAATTTTCATATCTTATGAAGAGTGCCCTGGTGGATTGGAGACATATTTCTGTGTATTTCTGTTTCTGATTCGATTTATGTCCATTCTTTTGCATAGAGATTGTCCTCTTTATCTTACGTAGAAACATTGCATTTATGTTTTAATACACATTGCTCCTGTTGTTTCTTTTATTCACGTTACTTTTTACTGTTCGTCTTTAAGGTCTCTCTCTCTCATTCTCATTCTCATTCTCTCTCTCCTTTTGCGTGGTTTTTGTGTCTCCTGCTGGAATCATTACAGAACCAGATTTCAAAAGAACTGAACACCAAACAGAGGTCACAAAGCATTGCATGTGTGAAATGCAACCATAAACCACTGTTTTTAGACCCCAGCATAAATGTTTTACTGTGTGATCTCTGTATTCTCCATGTGTCTGAATAAGTGAGTGAAGAAGGTCTATGAAACCTACAATAAAATACAACAGTCAGTCTTTAAGGTGCCACAATGTTTTTGTCTTTTCTATTTTTCTTTTGTTTTTGCCTGATATGCTTGCAGCACAGATTAACATGGCTACCTCTTCTAAAACTGCAGTTATTTGAATCAGTGAGAGTTCAACTGAATGAAGTCTTGCAAGTTTGGGTCCACTGACATAAGGAAGAGCTGTTCTTAATGCTTCTTCGGAACCCAAGGAACTGTGACTTTCTCGTCATTTGCTCCATGATCCTGTTAAATTTTATTTTCCCTACTTCTAAATTGTAGCAAACTGTCTTCAGTTGAGAGGCATTGGTTGCATAGATGTCTGGCACTTCTAATGTGTCGAAATTATGATTTTTAAAAATAGCAAACTGGGTCTCTAGTTTTTAATTTCACCCTGTCATTGAAAGCCATTGACTCTGCAATCCAGATATTCCAAACATTTTGGCTTCCCACAAGTACTTCTGGGTCTAAACATTGTCTCAGTGATTTGTATTGAAATACTAACTCCAGTTATGTATGACATGGCATTTCTTGGGGTAGAAACGTTGCTGAATCATAAAGTTGGAACGGACCTCAAAATAATATAAATAATAGCCAATTTAAAATACACTCTTGGGCATTTGGACAAAAATCCTTAAAGTGTCTCCATGTGCTATCTACTGTAAGATAACAGGAACTGCATTCTGCTACTTGCACACAATGTATCAGTGTGTATCTATCCACTTTACTTCTATAATTCTGAGGCACAGGATCTTGTTCATTGTTAAAATTGAGCATATGCCACTGATGGGAAGCCTGCGGCATGGTTTCCTCAAATACTGTATTATAAGATGACTTCTTTCACTATGGGTTAGGGCAAGGATCAGCAAAACACTAGACCTGAACCATCTGACCAATGGATATATTAATCACACCGTTCCAGCTGCTCTAGGTTCTCTAGGCCACGCTATCTGAACATGTCATAAGGCCTAGAAGCTTGCATTGCCTGGAGGGCAAATGGAATCTTATACTGTACATTGTTATTTGAATTGCAGAAGTAAAGCCTGACGGGCAATAAGTGTATGCATTTGGATAATGTGTCATAGTTCCATTCATACGCTAACCATGATGGAGACCTACATGTATGGCAATCCTTAGATACTTTTAAGTATTCTAGGTATAAGCATTAATGAAATGTGTCTTTAGCACTGTTTTCTTCCATTAATTGAGATCCAGATTAAGAACCATTGTATGAATGTCCCGCTAGAAACCTGGATAGACAGGAGAATCCTTGCCTGGCACATGAAAAATGGTAGAGAAGGTCTTAGATGGAACTCACTGAGCAGCGAATTTCAGTATCAGAGGGCAGCCATGAAAAAATATTATTGCAATGGTGGTTATGATCTGAGCTGTTGGGCACATTAAAAAAACATGCATTATGTTATTCCTATCCCTGCATTAACAAACTCAAGATTTTGTCAGATTTTGTTGCAAAATGCTACAAAATTATTATTATTATTTGTTGTTGCAGGTCTTGCAACAGAAATAAAAAAGAACTGATATACAGGAAATGTAATATAGAGTAAGAATGGCTGGGGAGATGCTCCGTTGTTTGAACCTCGAATTGTATGTGATTAGGATAAGCAATAGGTAGAAGTGTTTGTTTTGTAAATTATTCAGTAGTGCCATGCGAATTAGCCAACACCTCCTGACTCACAAGAATTCATCCCTATCCTTCAGTGAGGTTAGATGTGGGTGGTTGTTTCCAGCTGTCTCTGTGTTTTGTGTCATCAGTCCGTGGATGTCTGGTGGTGCTAAATGAATTGGTTTCTGTCCTCTCGTTTGCATTTGCTGGTTTAACTTCCCTGCCTCATGAAGAGAAAATAATGTGTTAAGAAGGGTCTATCACATGGGTGATTAACCTTGGGCTCTCAATGTGTTACTGTACTCCATCTTTAATAAGCCATTGCTCAATAGTAGAATTTGGACCCAATAATAGCCACAGGCTCAGCATCTTTGCTCTGCTTTATTATGTTTTGCTTTCTTCTCTCTCTCTCTCTCTCTCTCTCTCTCTCTCTCTCTCTCTCTCTCTCTCTCTCTCTCTCTCTCTCTCTCTCTCTCTCTCTCTCTCTCTCTCTCTCTCTCTCTCTCTCTCTCTCTCTCTCTCTCTCTCTCACACACACACACACACACAGAGAGAGAGAGAGAGAGATGTG